GTGGCGGGGGAGCGGCCGCCGGCGCCCGGGCCCGGGTCTGACGTCAGCGCCCCCGCCCACCGGCTCCCCTCGCCGCCGCCTCCCGCCGCCTAGCTCTCCGCCCGCCCTGGCCCCCTGGAGCGCCAGGCTGGCCGGAGTGGGTTAGACTCCGGGCTTCTGCCAGACACCCTGCCACTGCCTCCACCGTGCCCCCTGGGGATCAGTGGTACCCGGGGACAATGGACGGAGGTCGAGGACAGACACTCCACCGAGGCTGCGGACCTCGTCTCTGGGGCTCAGATTCTCTGTCTCTCCCAAGGGTCGTGAAGATTACTTTCCTCCCTGGCACCTGTGAGTCCATCGTTAGGAAGTGCACCGGAGTGTGACTCAGTGGGGGCCTGTGATCCAGGTGTTCCTCTCTACTCACGCAGATCCCTAGGAGGTGGGCCCTCTGCTCCCAAACCTCCCTCTCTCCTTGCACAGGTCGGGAGTCACATCATGCCCCCAAAGTTCTCTCTGGCAGGAGGGTGCTGAAAGGAAGGTCCTCAGGCTGATTCCCAGCCTGTGTCTTCGAGTGTCTGGATCTGCTTCCATGTGTAGGCACTGGGCCCTCAGTTTCCCCAGCTGTACACTGGAGCACCCTGCCTGAGGGATGCCAAAGGCTGTTCCTATTTCCAGGTCCTTCTAGTTGCCTCCATATCCAGCGTGGGAGCAGCTTGGGGGTGACTCTGAAAGAACCTGTGTCCCCCTCCAGATCAGGCAGGCCTGATACACACACATCCTCTTTGCGTCCCAGAAATCCCCTGGTCAGACTCCACCCTCTCACTGGGGCTTCTCTTTGGGGTGAGAGGAGGGAAGATGCTCCTTTCCCTCACCACCTGGAGACAAGTGAGGCCCAGGGACCCCTGGAACTGGGATAAATGAGGGAGCCTTCCACACTCAGAGACCTCTCCCCCACCACCGTGATCCTGTTGTGGGAATGAGATGCAGGTCAGGAAGGGGAGTCCAGAGTGACCAAGTCAGACCCCAAAAGGCGCCCCCAACTGGAGAGCAGAGTGTGGGGCAAGGAGGGATTCCCAAAACCAGCCCTACCCCTTCTTCCTGCCCAGAGGATAACCATTGCCTTTTCCCAAAGAGGGAGGAGAAGGGTAGGGCTAGTAAGGTCTGTGATGGAGTCCCCCAGGAGCCCCCACCTCAGCAGGGAGGGCCAGGACTCTAAACTGTGGGTGGAGGGCTGGGAAGGCCCTGTCAGGGAGCTCCCCCTCCATGCACACCATGGGGCATGTCGCTGTCTCACCACCTTCAGCAGGATTGGAGGTTTGATTCTGGGAACCGCCACTGGACTTGGTGCCTGTGTGGTGGCTCCTATATCTCAGTTTCCTTTTCCCTGACTGGGATGGGGGTTGAGAGGAGGGGAGGGTGCCTTCCTGCCTGCCCCCCCTGAGAGCCGGCACATCTTTGCTGTCCACCATAGTGGGGAGGGGGTGGGCTGTCTCCCAGTGCACCAGTGCAAGGAGGTTGAGGGACCAAGATGATCTGACCCCCAGCTTGCATGGCGGGGGTGGGGGGTGGGGATCAGACAGTAGAATGGCCTGAGCCATGTCCTAGGGTGGAACAGGGCACTAAAAAAAACACTGCCTCCCAGTGCCTTGTGCTTAGGACTCAGCATTTAGTAGCCACTTACTGTTCACCAGGCACACACTCTTGCTTTACCAAGCCCGGAGGGGAAGTTGTGCCTCTGTTCAGCATCCACCTCAGGTCCAAGGTGGAGAGTGGCGGTTGTGGCTGTTTGGGTTTTTATCCAAGTGCCAACACTGCCCTCAGGTCCTGGTCCACTGAATTTTCAATTCAGGATTTACATAGAATTTCAGGGACACCCATCTTCCAGGTAGGAAAACAGAGGTGGCAGAGTGGGACAGGTCTGAGCTACTGACTAACCCCTCCCCATGCAGATTCCAAGTCTGGGAGGTGGGTTCTGGCTCTGCCCGGCTCCAGCCACCCGCACCCCCCCCCCCACTGTCTCACTTGCCAACAATCACAGATAATTAAAAATAATCGTAGGATCTAAAAATCAATCAGCCTTCATAAAATGATTGCATCCCAGGCCCAGGAAGCTCAAATCAGGCCTGGGGGTGGGGGGCGCTGTGGGGGTGGGGTCTCTATGGGTGGGAAAGCAGAGATGGAGGAATTACCCCCAAAGTCAACTAAGGGGTGCTCCGTGGGAGTCGGGAGCATGCAGCCTTTTACCTCCATCTTTGTATATTTCCTCCAGCTTGATTATCATTTTCAATTTCATAACAAGCTTGTGTGACTGTTGTAATAAGGAAAGCATCCATTTTGAAAGAGGCCGACCAGCCACTTTGAGATGAAGGGGTCCCCTCCCCTCCACTGCCTCGGGACACTCTTAAGGTCTCCTCTGGGCCGGGGCTTCCTGGTGGGGGGACCAGTCTCGTCCCCCAAGTACATGGAGCCTCCCAATCAGCCTGGACACTCCGACACCCCCAGAGGCGGGATTCCGCACCTGCAGAGACTATGTTCCCCCTGGGAGACTGAGCGAAAATTTGCCACCCTCCAGAGAGAGTGGGGAGCCCCCTGGAACCCCAGAATGGGCTTCCCCCACCAGCAGCCTTTTAGTAATTAGTAAAATAGAATTGAACTGGCCGCGGACCGGCCGGTGGCTGGGGCCCTGATCGATCTTCAGTCATTAGGCAAATTGCGGGTTGGGGGAGGGTGGGCTGGATGGGGGCAGGGCGACCCCTGATACTAGACCCTGCCCAGACCTTGGCCAAGTGGCAGAGGTTGTCTGGCCTCAGTATCCCCTCCAAGAAAATTGGAGTTTGACCCCTGGAACCCAGGTCTGCACCTGGAGGTGTCTCAACCCAGGCTGCGCTGCCTTGATCCATGCCCACCCTCTCTGTTCACAGCCTGGGAGAAGCTGAGAAGCAAACCTCACATCTGGCTAACCTGAGGGCTTGCAGGGTCCATCCAGTGGCTGGGAGGCTTAGCTGGGGCTCAGATTTCCTCCCCACTCTGGGGGAACCCAGCCTTCTTCCCAGGTTCCAGCCAGGGTTACTGCCCACCTCTACCACAGCTAGAATCAGAATCGGCCATCTCCTGTCTTCTTGGACAGGCTGAGTTCCTTGTGGTTTTAGCTTGCGATGGCAGCTAAAAATATGTGGGTGGGTGGGTATTATACTCAAAAGTCTTCCCTTTCTGTGCTTCCCCTGGGCCCCTCCACTGTTGGTGGCTGATTCTGTGATTGAATTTGTCCCCCATGGAAATGAAACTCACCAACTGCTGTGTGTTCTTCCATTTTATTAGAGCGAGGTTTAAATAAATAGTGGCGATCCACATCTCCCTCCAGTCCTGCCCAAGCCAGAGACCCTTGTCAGCCCCCGGTACGGACCCCCAAACCGGCAGACGCCCGCAAATTCTGGCCGTGTACACCTGGCTGGGCCCGCGTGCTCCGCCTGACTCTGTGCCTTCGTTGGGGCCGGGTCGGAGGATTTTATTTAGATTGGGGGGTGCGGGGAGGGTGCTAGACTGTTCTCCTCCGTCTGGGGGTCCCGGCCACACTGGGCGCATGGCGCCCCGAAGATCCCACTCTCGAACCGAGGTTGGGTGTGGGGACATCTCAGCACCGAATCTGGGGCTCCACGACGTTGGGGTTTCGCCGCTGGCGGACAGAAGGTCCAAGGTTCCTGCCCACGGTCGCGGGACGCCCGGTCGTGCTGGCCCGCCGAGTGGATGCTCCCGCGGGCGTGTCGGCGACAGCTGCGCCCGATCGATCCCCGAGCCCGCCCCGGCTCGGTTGCCCCCGCCGTGCCGCGCGGCTCCATCGAATCCTCATCGCTCTCGGGCCACGCCGCCCGCCGCGCTCTCTGCAAACACCGCGCTTGTTTGCACCGGGGCACCGGGGCACCGGGGCTGGGAGTCCGCGGCTGGCAGGGGCTTCCCTGGGGCCCCGCGTCCTCCTCCGCCTGCCCCAGCAGCTCGGCCTCCGCGGGCTCAGGAGTTCCGGGCGCAGAGAACGGAGAGTGTTCCACCCCCACCTCTACGACTCTGGGTGGGTGGTCGCAGCCAGGCCCCGACTGGCGCGCGGGAGCCCGGATTGTGTAGCTTGGGGCCGCTCAGCCTGCCGGGTCTGGACAGTGATCCTCGGGAGCTCGGGATTCGCAGGGCGCCCTGGGTCGGCCCGCGCTCTTGCCGCCTCCTCCGCCTGCCTTCGCTCCCTCTGCGCGCCGGGGATCGCGTGCAGGTCCGGGAGCTGGGCTGCTGGCCGGAGTTTCGGACTCCAGCCTCGTAAACACGGAGAGACCCAGGTGGAGACGCAGCCAGAAGGGACTGAGGGCACGAATCCGCCCGTCAGGCCCGAACCCCCAGTCACTCCTCTCCATCGCGATCACATCCCCCCGAAACCCTGGTAGTGAGGAAACTTGGAGCCTGTTCTGCGGTTTGCAGTCGGGGAAACTGAGGCCAAACCAGGCAGGGCGCGGGCGGCTACCTCCAGAGGATGGTGGAGAGGGCGCCCCGCTAGCTGCCTCGGCTGACCGCGTGGGCCCGGGCACCTCAGGCCGCGGATTTCCCCGCAACAACGAAACCCGCATTCGGCGCCCGCTCGCGACGGGCAGAACCACCCCCGCGGCCAAGCTCGGGTCTTGACGGGAGCGATCGGTCCTCCCGCCCCCACGTCCCCGGGCGGCCCTGGGCGCCCTCTGGCCCTTCCCGGCAGGGTCTCTCCTTTGAAGACTAATGTAAATGTGTATATATTTAACCCACAACGCTTTCTTCCTTGCAGAAAGCCGGCCGGTGGATCTCGGAGCGGCGGGTGGCGCGGGGCGCAGTGGGTGCGTTCCGGGAAGCCCCAGGCTCGGGATCCGGGCCGGGCTGCAGCGGAGTTGCTCCTGGGGGCGCCTTCGGGAGCCACCTCGGCCGGAGTCCAGTCATGGCCCTGGCTATGCTGAGCCCCACCATGCCAGCTTCGACCCCCGGGAGGGTCCTGCCCTGGGTCCCCAGAGCCCAGGACAAGACGACAGATGCAGGGGTGGGGAGCACCCGCCTGGGAGAGCACCCACTTTCCAGACGCGGAGGAGGCCCCAGCTGGTAGGGAAGACTCCGGCCCTCCCACTTTGGGAGGGTGCGAGGCCCCGCCCCGTGGGTAACCCCCAGCATCCGGCAAGCGAGCCTCGCCCTGGCCTGGCGCCCCATTAATGTGCCATTTATCTGAACACACCCTTGCCCTTTCCGCCCTGCCAGGAAGGGGGAAGGGAGGCAGGGGGGCTCCGCCCCATTCCCCACGGCTGTCCACCCCCTTCCTCCTTTCTGCCTTCCAGGTCTGTGTCCTTTGCCTGCACCCCTTTGGGCTGAGGGAACTCGGGAGACTTCAGAGGGACACTGATGCTGAGAAGGGTGCACGCCCCACGGAGCGGAATCTACAAGTTAAGGGTGGAGGAAGGGATCTGGCATTCACCTGATTTAACAAATCCCTCTGGGCAGCCCCACCCTCCAGGTTAGCTTCTGTACTTGGGAAGGGGAGACAAAGACTACACAGTCACTCAGGCGCCTGAGGTCAAGACTGGGAGGAGGGCGCAGACTTCCTGGAGGAGAGGACCTTGAGGCTGGGTTTTGTAGGATGTGCAGGAGTTTGTCAGGTAAGGTTAGTCTAGGGATGAAAAGACCCCTTATAATAATTTGGGGTAAAAGGGGATGGAGCAGTGGCAGGAGGCTGGCGTTAGCTCACAGGCCTTGATCAAGGAAATATTTGTTAAGTAAGTCAAGGAGATAAGCTGGGATCTGACGGGAGGGGGTGGATGTCAAAACCAGGCCTTGAAGGCCAGGCTAAGTGGGGTTGGGCTTTCTGTCCTGGGTTGGGAGGCCAGCAGGCAGGGGTCCCAGTGGCCTTTAGAACAATCCTTCCAGTCCCAGTCTACACAAAGACACATCCTCCTGGATGTATTGGGGGTTGAATGGCTCCCCTCCCGCCAGGGCAGCGAGGTGTGGGGGAAGAGCTGTTTGTTCCTGAGCCCAGCAGGTGAGTCACATGGGGCCACTGGGCTGGAAGGAAACTGTTTTCTCCTCCCTTCAGTCATCTGCTGCCTCCTTCCTCCCTCCCCAGATGTGGGGGTGGGGGGCCCCAACTCTGGGGGAGTCATGTGCCCAGCAGAACCTGGTTCTACCTGCCTGATCATCCTCCACAATGCCTGCTGCCCACTGGGGAGGTGAGACTCTGAGGGAGCAAGGCTAACACCCCCATTTTTCAGATGAGGAAACAGGCAGAAGGCTGGTCTGGGGGTGCCAAAGGCCCCCAGCCCATGAGCCGACCCTGGGCCGAGTCCCAGTGTGTGCCCAGCGTGCGCTGTTGTGGACGCATCAGTGTGTCCAGTGAGGGATAGAGTGGGTCTTGGCTGCAGTGCTGAAGTCCTAGAGGAATTTGTGGGGTGTGGGGAGTCCTTCAGACAATCCCAGTCCTTTGGACAATCCCAGGGAACCCAGGGCTCCCTCAAACCCTGGCACGTGGGGGGCGATGGCGAGGAGACTGGAAGAGACTGTTCAGCCTGCACTTTGGGGGCATCCCCTATTCTGGCACCTGCAAATAGGCAGCCTGGCCTCTGGGACTCAAGTTTGTAGGGCTCCTGCATCCTCCTTGGTGGCCCCACATCTGATCAGTTGGTCAAGGAACCGAGAAAGGAGGAGTCAACTGGTCTCTTCCAGAAAAGACCACGGCTGTCCCTCTTCCAAATTCTCTCCAACTTGACTTTTGAGGAGCCCAGGGGTGGGGTGCGGAGAGCAGAGCCTGGCCCAGACACCCCACATGAAGGGGCTCAGTTTCTTCTGCCAGGAAGGAAAGAGGGGGTCTTGATGCCCCTCCCCTCCCCTCCCCCTCCCTCCCCTTCCTCCACCTTCTCCTCCTTTCCAGCTCCCTCCTATTTCTCCCAACCCTTTCCTTCTTCGCCTTCCTCCTGCTTTCCCCATTCTTCCCTCCTCCACCTCCCTCCTCGCCTCTGCATCCTTCCCCTCCTCTTCTCCCCTCTGGCGCTAACAGCTGTAACTGCTGGTTAACCCACCTCCCTAACAAGCACCCTGGCCCTCAGCAGTCCCCACCGGGCTCCCGTGTAATTGTCTCCATAATAAATCCCTGACTTTGGCTGCGTCGGAACCCATGGCTAACTCCTCCTTACCTAACACACACACACACACACACACACACACACACGCAACACAACATTTCTATTATTATTGAACTCTCTGTGCACTGGGGAGGTAGGAAGCCAGGCCCCCAGTGGCATGTCTTCCTGGGAAATTTGGGGGAAAACCCCCCTCCAGCCCCTTCCTCACCTGCTCACCCTCCACCTAGAGGGGAGGGCGAGATGCTCCTGTCAGGAGCGGCCCAGGCAAGAGCTCCCCAGGACCACAGCGGTGTGGGAGGGGCAAGGGCTGGGGAGGGCTGAGGGTCATCTGGTCGACCCCTTGCTTGTCTTCTAGGTGAGGACTCTGAGGTGGAACCCAGCCTCTCAGCTGCCTGGGGAAAAGCCCTCTGGAGGTCCCAGAAGCAGCATGGGAGACAGGGAGCAGGTGGACCATGTGCGTCACGCCAGCTAAGGCCCTCCGTGGCTGATTGGGCCCTGCCGAGGACTGGCCATTTCACAGGTAGGAAGGCTGAGCCTCATGCTGACTGTTCGCTGAGGCCACTAACCCCAGCCCTCGCCAACCCCCTGTGAGTGCTCATTGCTCAGGGTCCTTGGTATCAGGGGTCACCCCCAGAAGGTCAAGGGTGAGTTCTGGATTTGAACCCCAGGGTCCTCTTCCCCACATCATGGGTCCTGTCAGAGCCTCAGTTTGCTTGTCTGTGGAATGGACACGAAGCATACATGTATGAGCTCGGGGTCATCCAGGAGGCGCTTGTGACTGCTGCGGCCGCTCAGAGGTGTCTGAGTGAGGGCAAACCACGTCGGGGCGGGGGCAGAGAGCCCTGAAGCAGGGCCTGGCATTGACCCCACACTGATCCTGGGAGGAGGCAAGAGAGAAGGGTGAGGGGCTGGCAGAGGCCAGCGAGGCCCCTCTTCCCCACCCCCAACGCCCACAGGCCTGGCCAGACCCCAGCCCCACTTCACAGGGGGCTCTTAGGAGGCAGTGCCCAGCCCACATGGTGGATTTAGGTGCCTCCAGTTAGCCAGCCCTGGTTTCCTGTGTGGGTTCTGTGTCCCAAGCCCCCGATTTTCTGTTCCTTGGACCTTCCCAGGGCAGGGTGTTTTTTCTGGCTTCTTTCAGTGGGGCAGAAATGACAGAAGGGAGGGGCAGTGGTGGGGGCCAGGATCCAGCATCGCTGGGCATCATCAGAGTGTGGGCCTCAGCTCACTGTTGCCCCAGTCCCGGCTGGGGGACAAGGCCAGGGTGACCTCTCCCATTTGACAGGTGAGCAGCTCCCCAGCTACCTTGACAACTACTGGGGATGTGAGCTTCAGCCCCCGCTGATGGACTCTGGGAAACACACCCATTTCACTATGCCTCAGTTTCCCCATCTGATGGGGAATTTCTGTGAATTGATGCAAGAGACGTGCAGGGCCTCTGTTCTAATGAGGGTGGCT